TTCGGGTCCGCACAGGGATCCTTCATCAGAGCGACAGTGACACTGTCGCTCTGATGAAGGATCCCTGTGCGGACCCGAAACATTGGTTATTGAATAAACATATCAATACTTAAAAAACCCTTCAAGTGTTTGCCAGTAAATTACTTTTATTTACTATTAGTGTTTTGCACGGCGCCATCCGTGTGGTCACCTGGGCACCACATATACCTTGTGGTTTTGAGACCATGGCAGTGCGAGTGGGATTTGGACTTTGTTAGGAGCCAAATAACCAAACCCATATATTAAAGTGCTTGCCTGATGTGAGTCTCTTAGAGGGTAAATTTCCCTAATGGGGACACAGGCAGCAATAAAAAAATAAAAATGACAGGGATTCTAACCCCTTACCACTTTATCTAAATCTAAAATATAACTTTTGCCTTTAGTTATATCTTATTGAGCAGCAACTAAATTGTATTTGTAATAGTGCAAAATGCTTCTGCAATATCCCTTGTGTCCCTGTGTGGTCACATCTCACATTGTAATGTTTAGGTTGCTGAAGCTATACATCTTCAAGTCAAAATTGAAAAGTGAGTTATGATATACAAACAAGGAACATGGCTAACCTGGTCTGGGCTTAAACGCTTCATTCAAGTATTCCTGTGGTGCACCAGCCTACCCCATTCCCTGCTGCCACTAATCCAGTGACCTGGGAACCCCATTTTCTTATCGACTTGACATGTAAGAGACCTGCCCTCAAAACATACCCACTGCAGGATGGATATTGCTGTCTGTCACTTACCTGTATTAAAATTACAAGGAAGTTAGTACAAAAAGAGATTACTTACAGCTTTCCACTGAATTAAAAGCTGCCATGGACTTATAGATTGACCTCTACATTTTAGGCTGGACGTGGTCTAAAATGTAAAAATCCATGTAAATAAAAATATGTGATGTATGAATCAATTGTCTTGTGTATACCTGCATGCCTTTTGTATGTCATGGAGTAAAGCAAAGAAAGTGTGAGAGATAAAGTATTGCTTATTCTACAACGATATTTTAAAATGGCCTGGAAAGATTTGTTGACACCCCTAGGAAAGATGATAGATATTTGGATAATAGTGATAATTTAAACTGTTTTCTGTAATTTAGTATTACAGATATCCTCAATCTTCTAATCAGTCAGCCTATTTATAAGGAGAAAAGTAATCACTCTGTGACTGTTTAGTATCATTGTGTGCACCACATTAAACATGGACCAGAAAAAGCAAACCTAGAATTCTGAGGATATCAGAAAGACATTCAAGACCCGCATATCAAAAGTAAAGGCTATAAGACCATTTCCAAGCAGATTGATGTTGCTGTGATTTCAATTACAAATATTAATAAGGAGTAAATGGTCCATAAGAGTGCAACTAAGCTCCCCGGACATGGCTGCAAGAGGAAATTTGGCCCCAGATTTAACAGAAGGATAATGCAGATAGTAGACAAAGAATTGAAGAAAATTTCCAAAAGTTGATAGAAGCTGACTTTCAAGGTCAAGGTACACAGGGCCGGTGCTAGGATTCTTGCCTAGACAGGCAAGGTGCATTTTTTACTTGATTACAGTATGTTTTGGGGCTGCTTTGCTGAATCCGGCATGGAGTGCTTTGAATCTGTGCAGGGCAGAAAGTAATCTCAAGAATATCACGTTATTCTGAAGCAAAACATACTGCCCAGTGCCATAAAGCTCTGTCTGTCAGGCCATGGGTTCTCCATAAGGCTAATGCCCCAAAACGCAAAGCTAAATGCAACCAAGACTGGCTAAGAACAAAACATTGGACTATTCTGAAGTGACACTCTTTGAGCCCTGTTCTTATTTCTATCAAACCTCTATGAAAGAGCTGAAACATGCAGACTGGAGAAAGCACCATTCAAAACAGAGGCAGCTGAAATAGTTTGCTAAAGAAGAGTTGGCCAAACTACCCATTGATAGGTGAAGTCACATTGAGAGCAGTGAGTGCCTCTAAAGGTTGTACAACAAAATATGTTAAGAGCCCCATAATTTTTGTTCTTGCCATTGTGCTTGGACAACTGTATGTGAAATACGACCAAGGAAATAAAGCAGAATTTTCTGACCGAAAATAAAAAAAAGTCAGACCGAAACCCAAAATTATTATTTTTCTAACCTTTTAAAAGATGTCTCCTCCCCACCACCGCTCTCCATCCTGATTGTTACAGGAGGCTGAGCAGGGTGGTGCTGGTGGAGAGCTCCGCCTCCTGTAACATTGCCGCTCAAAGCGCTCCCCGCCCTGCTCGGCCTCCTGACAGTTTCTCTCCTCTTCGTGGGATGCTACTCTGTGTCATAGGTGACACAAAGCAGCACCCAGAGGGGAGGAGAGAAACTATGTATGCACTGCAATTTTACCCGAAAGATGATACTTTCGGCATTTTGCCTGAAGTACCATTTTCAGCCGATTTTATGTTTCGGCCGATATGTTTAATCACCTTTTAGAGAAATGTTAAAGTAATATGTTTAATAAAAGGAATGCTTGCTGAAATGTCCCAATCATTTGAGCAACGCTGACTTTTTCATCTTGCTTTTAAAACAAGGCTTGCTAGATAACCCATGATTTCTGCACCACCAGTGTAAACACCTTTTACCATTGTATTGTGGTACAAATCTGAAATTCCCACGTCTGCCTGCAGTGCCTCATAATTGAACATTTATACTGGTTGAATAGTTTACATTTCTTCTCTAGCACAAAAATGTTTGAAACTGTTATCAATTGATCTTTTCTTTGGTTTGCTTTAAAAATCTTGTGCCCTCGTTATTTTGACAAAGTGCTTCACTCGCATACCTTCTACCAAAGTGAAATGTCTGCACTTAAAAGCTTGTTCACTGTTTATACCCACTTGGTTTTATGAAAGCCTCTGGAATCCAGTAAAAATATATCGCCCATAACCAAATGCTGTTTCTCCTACAAAAGCTTGCCTCTAACCTTAGATAATCCCTTTCTTGTTTATTCTCCATGTTGTGTCCTACTGTAAGGGATAGAGATGCCATAACAGAGTGATCAGTTTCATTTAAGCAGTTTGTTGTAAAAATGCTGTAAATGTCTTTATTAAAGTGATTTAACACTTCCTAAAGTCTTAGGGATGCCTGAAGCATGCACTCTCCAAAACTAAAATGGCTGTTTCTGTGTTTTCTAGGTTCCCTTTAGGATCCAGTTCTAAATAAAACTTTTTACTTTTGGGTAGAATGGAGAACTTGTATCAGGTTCTTATACCATTTCATCGGATGCAAGCAGGAATTGGTATAAGAACCTGAACCTAAACTGAACTTCACCCTTACTTTAAAAATGAAAACAAAGGCACCTTCAGAAATGTTTAGTAATGGCAATCTACAAACAGATACTTAGATAAGGTATGCAAAGAATAAAGCGCTTACAATTATTTTATTTTCCCTCCCCATTCTTCTCATAGTTTCCATTTTTTACTAAGGGCAGATGAATCCATCTCCCTTTTCTTCCTGGAACTTTGGAACGTGTGATGGAGGGCATCATCTCAGGGAGAAAAAAATGCCTTTCCCTAAAATCTTGCAAAATTTTGCAGTTTACAGATGAGATTTTTGAGGAAAGCACTAGTGATGGAACCTTTCCAGGTTGCATCTGTGAGGCCAAGATTACATCACTAATATCTTAGAGGACCAGGAAGTGGAAAAACTGTAATTGTTAATAAAAGCAAAAAATGGTGAACTAATAATTGTTACATGCAGAAGTTCATATCGGCATGCAGAGCTGCACGCTGAAGTGAATTTTAGTGATAGGGGGTAAAAGTCCATTTTAAGGGCAGGAATGGTAGCATTTAGTATAAGCTTTTAAAGCCCTACTCCAGCCAAAGCTTTTTATTTTGTTTTGGACACAGTAGGAAAGGGTTAGGGAATATGTCTGGTTTTTATCACCATCTTTGTCCCGATCGGAGAGACTTCCTATCGCTTCCTCTGAGGTCAGAAAATGGAAGGAAAATCACTATGACAGTAAAAAAAAGGGAAAAAAACTAACACCCATTTTCAGTAGAGTGAGGTAGGGTAGGGTTTGCATTTTTGACAGTGGGGTTGATTTACTAAAGGAGTAGAGGGCATGTGAGGAGTTTTTTCATTGAAAAACCAGCAGTAGTTTCTTTACTATGAAACATAATATCCTAAAAGAAGCCCTGACAAGAGCTTCAATTCAAAAAGATCTATGTTGGACTCCAAAGGTAAATTTATTCAGTGGGAGGTGGAAGGATAATTTTACAACTTTTTGTGTGAGACAAACACCATCCATTAGTAAATGGGAGCTGACTTTGTTATAAAAACAGCAACGTTTACAATCTTCCTGTAGTACGTGATCATTGGATGTAAAAATCTCCATTTACTGAGCGATAAACTTCAAATAGTTTGGTGGTCATGCTCTGATCTGATTGCTGCTCATACTGTATGTGCACAGTCGGGTAGTTTTTGGATTCTTCCACATGTAAAGATAATTTGTCTCTACATAATGGCTGATACCTTTTACTCTTTGGGCACTTTGCCTAAACACGAACTCCAGCAATTCAATACATTGTCCTAGAAGGGCGTTTGACAGAGAAAAACCCAGCCAGGAATGCATTGTTCATCGTCTTGATCTTGGCAAATTTTAAAATGTGAAGAAATGTAACCAAAATGTATAATTTGTCTTCTTCATTGACCCAAAGCGACATATTAGATTCAAATGTTACATTTACAACTGTCTTTTGCAGTGCAATTTTGAATTTGATTGGCGACTATGGGACAACAATAGTTATTTAGGTAGAAGTTAATTAAGGCAGGTATGTTCATTGAGAGCCTATGTGGTGGTTTAAATCCAAATTGATCTACTGCAGGAATGAATACCATGTGGAATGTTTTGATGATATCATTAGAATGGAGTTAACACACCCCGAGCTGTAAATGTCATTGCAGTGACTCTTCCCTTTTGACATGCATTTGTCTTAACAATCTGTCTCCTCTGTGCTTTCTGCAGCGATATTCTGATCACTCGGCTAGGAGCATCAATGAGTTACGATGAGCTGTGTGAGGAAGTGAGAGAGATGTGCCGCCTACGCCAGGAGCAGCCCATCACATTGAAGTGGATTGATGATGAAGGTATTGGGGTGGTCATTTTATAAAGGGCATGAATAAAGTGGTGTCACTGCAGATATTTGTCCACCAATGCTGTGATTGTTCACATAAAATCACCATTTTACCAAAATATGTTTATATCAAATTCAGAATTGAAGTACAATTGTATCCTAATTGTATGGGGGTGCAAGAAAACATGGGGATTTGAAATGTCTTGCATAATTTTTTTTCTCCAGTGCCAGCCGCTTAAATGAGTTTCCCTGCAGCACACTGAACATAAGGCCTACTGCGTTCTGTACCCAGTTACAGTCACCACTACTGCCTTCTATTCAGCAGTGAGGGTGAGCATTGCTGGTTGGAGCACAGTAGTTGTGACTATGGGGGGGGATGTCGGTCCACTGGAGATAGACCACTGCTCTCAGAAGGCACGGGGCTTGACAGATCACTAAAGTTAGACCACTGGTCTCTTACGTGCACACAAACAAACTACGGCTTCCCCAGACAGAAAATGAGGGAAAACACAGACAAAAATTAAAATAGCATAGGTGAAGGGGTTAACCCCAGTCAACTATATATTTCTGTTCAATCCTTCCTGCTCCATACACATAAGCCCAATATAATTTTTTCTCCCACAAATATTGTATTTAAGTTTTAGACATAAATCAACACAATTTATATAGAATTTAGATAGGTTATATAGAATCTCCAAAAAATAGAACATAAAAATGCCATCAGTAGAGCATTCAACCAACATGGGCGTCAAACCAAAATATAGTAACCAATATGTAATGGTCAAACAAAATGGTGACAAAGGCTAAACTCTAAGCATTAAACTTCAAGTAGTCCAGGAAAATACACCCGAGTAGGGGGAGGTCATTAACAGGGCAACATCAAGTTGTTTAGAGCAAGCCTAATATCCCCCGAATGAAAAAAGGAAACCTGAATTACCCACATACAAAATGGACAACACAGTGAAAATACATTCAACTAGATAACGTACAAACTAGGGATGCATCCTGAGGTAGCATCCAATCAGGAGGCCAGTGTTGTATCGAAAGCGCACTGGCTTCACACTCCCTCGCAACACTGCGAGGCAGTCTGGCTGCCTCGCAGTGTTGCTAGGCAGCGTGAAGCCGGCTTCCTAGCCAATCAGGAAGTCGGGAGGTATGTCATAACCCACCGCCCGGCTTCCTTATTGGTTGGAGAGCCGGCTCTATGCTCCCCCGCGGCACTGTTGGTCAGAGGGAATCTCCCTCTGACCGGCAGTTCCAGTATCTGGGTAAGTATTGGAGCAATTGGACAAGTACTCCCTAAATGCTCAGTATTGGCACTGATATCGATATCGGTATTGGTGCATCCCTAGTACAAACATTAGGAAAAGACAATGTAGGAAAAACCAAGGATGCAGAAGAAAGAGAAAAAAAAAAGTACATATATTGTGCAGGAAATAAAAATGTATATAAATGATAAGTTTATATCTTGTAATTAAATAATTAATATTGACCAAAAACCAGTATAATTTGGCATAACATTACTTTTAACACTTAGCTAGATGTTTTTACCAGTGGTTAATGGCTATCTGCTGCTAAACATATTAAAATGACCACCCCCGACAATGTACTTGGCAATAATTTAGTGTGGTATAAAGTTAATGAATACCAAACATCATTTTCAGTTGGTTTGCAAATTTGAACGAAATGATGCCTTTATTGGCCATAGTTGCAGTCTAACCTGCTCTGGGAGACTAAAAGAGTCTTCAGCAAGTATTGTTCTTTTAGTTCATTTTCTTAATCCTGTAACACCTACAGCACATCTGTCAAACACAAGGCCCACCAGGCTATTTCATTTGGCCCTCGCACCTAACTTGCAGCTTTAATTGTTTAAACCAAAGCCTATGTTGTAAACAGGTGCTGGGCTTCACATGAAGGCTGACAAGGTCCCCAACAAGATCCCGGCAGCCTTCCTGTGAATCGTGGCACCTGTTTACAGGGCTGGCCAAAAATCTCCTCCTCCTTCCTTTGAATCCACGCCACCTGCACCTGCCGGGACAGACCGGGACCCCTGGTGAGACCACACAACCTTCCTAAGACCCCGCACAGCTCACCATAGAATATGCACAGCCCACCATAGAACCTGCACAGCCACCAGAGAGTCTGCACAGCCCACCATAGAACCTGCACAGCCACCTGAGAGTCTGCACTATTACACTAATTGACATTATTTTTTCTAGACTTTAACTTTCATAGCAAGTTATCAAATTATTACTAAAACCAGTAATAATCGAATGCAGAGGCAATTATTTAATATGATTGAGTAGATACATTTATATAGTCCTACAGATACCACCGGCCCTTTGAGGGCAGCCATAATGCGGTCCACGATGAAATTGGGTTTGACACCCCCTGACCTACAGTAATACTATCAAAATTCTGTCCAATTCAAACGTATCCAATATTAATAAATAAAAATGCACAAGCAGCAAAAAAATCTCCCAAGTAACCCACTTTCCATGATCCACTGAGTGCTTGGTGCAGCCAACCCCCAGGCAGGAAAGTGTTCTGGCCTAGGTTACACATATGCATTTGATATCCTATTCATTCCTACAGGAAGCCCCTTGATTTTTAGGCTCAGATTTTGCAAATAGCAAAAGTGTCTGAACAAAATTACAAATCATTTTGAGAATTTACTTACAGTATATGAACAGTATTTTGTATGTGTGTTCACCTGGAGTTTCCAGGTTCTAATACTTGCAAGTTTCCTTTGTGCCTATTTATTAAAACAGCCCTGCCTATATTTGCAATGATAGTAGCATTTGATGTGTTTGGATTTTTTTGTATTACTCCAGGGGCTTTTGCTCTCTAGACCTGTCAGTGTGTGTTGGCCCACATGGGAACATTTCTAATCATTGTCTTTATACACTACCTGGGTTGTCTGATCCTCCTGTGACTGCTGAGTAGTAATCTTTCCTGCAGGTGCCCTTGACACAAAGCTTTGACAGTTGCTCCTTCTTACTTGCTGTCTCATATTCATGATTGTGGCAGCTTCCCAACTGTTATGTGATTCAGTCAGTAGAGTCAGTAATTTGTATGACATATCCCTCCCAAGGTCTATTGGATGAACTGGCATTTTTCATACTTGTACTTTTTAGTCATATTTTATTCTGCATTAAATATTGGAAGAGTTGATTTACAGTGCAGTACGTCAGAAATAGTAAAGGATTGTCCTGTAAATAGTCAACTTACATAAAGTCAGATTAAATGTAATGGGGTGTGGCCAAATCCCCTGATGTGGTCTTGTGGGGAGGGAGAGCAGGGGCCAATGATTTAAAGGATAATTAAACCCTCCTGTTTTGTTTTTTTGTTTTGTTTTTTTTTGCATATATCTACTGCTAGCAAGCAGTAGATACATGCAAATATATATATATTTTTATAGTTAAAAAGGGTTTAAACTTACCCGTGTCTCCACCATGGGCTCCCATCCGAAAATCTGAAGATTCTCGGAGCAGTCACAAAGGATCATGGGGCGGGTGCATTCGCAGTAGCAGATCTTCGGCCGGGAGAAGAGACACAAGGTAAGTCAATGCAGACAGCATGCACCCGCACAGACTCGGTGGGACAGGAAGTGCTGGGAAGAGAGAGGTGTCAGCGCTGGATCAGAGACCGGCACCAGCGCTGGAGGGACTCCTGGAAACTACAGGAAAGAAGATGATCGGATCAACAGCCATCATTTAAGGTAAGTCCTTACACCAGCATTGGGGGGGAAACTTTAGCCTTTAATGTCACTTTAATAATTGTAATGATGTTTGGCTTTCCAAATCATCATTTACACTTGCGGTGTAGGTGCACATGCCATAATGTGCAAGTATGCACATGTATTGGCAAACCTACCTCTGAATTTGCCATCTTCCAGCAATGACCGCTCTATATTTTGCTCATAGGCAGGCAGTGTTAATAAATTAGTTTGATCAATTCTATTGCCCAGCAGGGCAGTGCTAAACAGGAGCAGTGACAGAATAAAAATCTGACCCTGAGAACTTCTAAACTGTGTGTTTGTTTGAGTGACAATATTTCTCATATTCCATGCTAAATCTATCTCCGTGTTATGAGACACTCTTAGGCCCATTTACACCTTTTGTGTACTTTAACACATCGCTTTGTCATTGTGAATGGCCTGTCAGAACATCTGATTGCACAAAAACTATTTTTGACAGCTCTGCGCACCACCTACTACTGAGAATTATTATTATTATTATACAGGATTTATATAGCGCCAGCAGTTTGCGCAGCGCTTTACAATATAAGGAAGACATTACAATCACAATACTATATAGTGCATTACTGCATTCTGCGGTACTGGATGATAAAACATGGTTTTCAGCATGTGTTTCCTGAATGTAACAATGCCAGCAGGCTGTTATAGTTCACTTCCATGTTACCTTGTTGAGAGTAAAGGACTTTTCAAGCATTTTCTACTAATCTTTCCTGCAACCATCCTTAGAAAGCATGGACATTTTTCAGTCATTCTTTATCATACATATAAGCCAGGAATCCAAAACCTTTCTAGGCTTTAATGGCTTTACACTCTTCATTCATCATACTGAACGAGCTGCGTGAAGCACATATCCCCCAGGGTACAGATGCCAGCCTGCTCTAGCAGGACTTTGGCAGCAATCAGTGACTTGAAGCACAGCAAAAGCTGTATCTTCTACCACCAACAATGCTTTGGAGATGGTCGCCTATTAAACGCAGCAGAAGCCTGTGCTCTCTGTACCCGAAAAGCCACCATACCAAGAAATAATGAAGGGCGTGTTCAAATTTATGCATTCTTAATATGCATTTTCCCACATTTTATAATGGCGTGGTGGTGTATCTTTTTGCCTTGTTAATTCTTCTTGACTTTGTAATTTTTTTATGGGGTGAGGAAACCTGTCAGTGCAACCCCACATTAAAACTGTAGTATATGCATTATATATTTTTCCATGCAGTGCTTCCCATGAACTAGAGCATTTTAAGTGCTTTGTGACA